ATAGTAAAGTTACTTTAGCCATACTAAACTGGCAATTCTTTTAACAATAGTTGAAGAAAAATAAGTAATAAAATAGAATTATAATCATGGAATGCATATTAAATAAATTTCAGAGAATATTACTGAAATATTTGACATAGTAGGCTCTGCAATATCTAATTTTCACTGTCAGATGAGCAACTGTTCAATAAATATGAATATCATTTTCCCTTTCTTGAGTAAAAACAGATACAACTAATCCCCAACTTAATGGCTAATCCACATTCAGTTCTTCACTTGACAATATTCATACACTAAGAGTTTAGAAAGAGTTTAACTGTGTCATAGTGTGACAGGGTGGACAGTAGAGGCTTTTATGCTTTTTTACTACATATAGTAAAGTCATTTGCAACCAGTATTTACAACAGGAATGTACAGCACAATTCTGGTGTTCACCTGGTATCAAGTTGCCTCCTAAGTCTTCCTCAGAAAGACTATCCCTCACTAGCTCTCCTGCTTCCTCCCCCTTTCACTTGGTCTCTCTCCCTCATTCCTGGGTTTATTAAGAGTAAAAGTGAAAAGGAAGAAATGGGCTAGATTCAGGGGTGGGTTTCTACCGGTTCTGTCCATCTCTGTAGAACTGGTTACTCCGAAGAGCAGCAGACATAGAATTGGTTCTATGTCTGCTGCTGTTGTGGCCCACCTGTCCGCCCGGGCTCTTACCTGACCTTTATTTCCTGCTTTTTCAACTGCAGCTGCTTTGTGTGACACAGCTGCAGTTGAAAAAGCAGGAAAAAAGGGCTTTTCCAACCGCTGCGCACTTGCAAGCAGCGCTGCTCAGCTGTCCGGGCAGCTCAGCAGGTTGTAAATTGCACTCACGCGACGTGCGTGACTCATGCGACTTGCGCATGCACGCGTGACGCTAATAGAGAGAACTGGTAGTTATACCAGTCGGATCCCATCCCTGGCTAATAGAGAGAACTGGTAGTTATACCAGTCGGACCCCATCCCTGGCTAATAGAGAGAACTGGTAGTTATACCAGTCGGATCCCATCCCTGGCTAGATTTACTGTAATGTGTAAAAATTTCTTCTGGATCTGCTGAGCTGAGCACCTATTTAGGCAAATAACATCTCTCAGAGTCTTCTGTCCAGTCCTTTCCCAGAGACCAATTAATGACAAACCACTGCTTCCCGTCTTGGATCTCAGGAGAACCTCTTGTCCCTCTGAGTCTTCACTTCCCTTCTTCCATGGAAGTCACCCCTGGACCTTTTTTTCTCCATTCCCAACCAAGAACCAATACCTGATCTGTAACTTCACTCCCCAACCATTTCATTTGCAGTCTTTTTTGTTTCCTCTCATTCTCTTGCTCTCCAACTTTGGATCAAAGTTGCATGTCCCATGAGGAAGAGGCAAGTGCCCCCCAAGGCTCTAGTCCTCCACACTTATATTCCCAGGTTCAACCACTTGCTGTCACTACAACTCCCCACAAGAATCTTGGTTAGCAGTCAGGACAGTTCATCATTATTCATAACACCATAGCTGACCTTCAATACCATAACTGAATTTCTTCGCCCCCTTTCTAATTCCATTTACTCAAGTAAAATTACAGCCATGCTAGGTTCTTGAAAACCATATGCCACAAACTACTAACAAACTGTCTTATGTTGGCACAGTAATACAGTCTTACAAATTTTACCTCATTCCCTTCTGAAAATTATTCACTTTTATTTCCATTACAAGATTTCTTTTTTAAAAATTGTAGTATTAGGAAAATTGCTAGAAATGAATACATCTGTAATCATAAGTTAATACCAAGAAGGGTTCAACCTATGCCAGGATTTTAAAATATATTCTGAAACAGGAAAGAACTGAATAATGTATAGTAAACTGAATTTGGTTTCTTGAGGAACTACTTCATGTTATCAGTAAGCTACTAACATAAGCTACTTATAGTTGTCATACTTTACTTGAAAATGCATGAGCTATTTCTACTGAAATATTAGGAGCCAGAAGGTTTAGGTGAAGATAACACTACTACTTGCTCATTGTCATAACCAGAAAAACTGCCATTATTAAAGTAAAATAAAATTTAAAGCAAAGTTATTTGACATAAATTATACAGTAGGCTTAGATCAATATATTTAAAATAAATATGCTGTGTTAAGCAAACATGGTAACAAATGGAGCATTCAAATTTATTTTTACTCACTGATGAGCATCCTTTTAATCTCAGCTGAAAATACAACAAATTGTGAGAAATGATATAGAGATTCTACAGTCTTTTGTTCTTTTTTTTTAACCTACTCTCTTCATTCTTAACTATTTTACTCTATTTCTCTTCAGAGTCTTCTCTTCTGGATGCCAGCCAGAATATGTGTACATAAATCTTTTCTTCAAACAAGGAAGTCACAAAGAATGATAAAACATAACTTGAAATTTAGCATCAGACTGCAAATACTTTGGAGGATACTATGAGGGGGGGGGGGGGAATTTCTCAACATGCCTGAATAATACTAAAACTGTCAAATGAGAATGAACAACTCAGACTATCTAAGTGAAATACATAAAGGAAAGGTTCATTGACATCAAAGGGTACATTCCAAAGAGATTAGTTCATTATCATACTTTTAAAAAACTGAAGATGAAATGAATAATGAAGGTAGGTTAATTGTAGAATATTCTAAATGGGAACTCTTCCTATACATAGATAACCTTTATGAAATATGCAGAAACCACAAAGAAAAATTAAGCAGAAGTTTATATCTCTCTCATTTTTTCTATGGCTTCCTTTTCAGATTCTCAGAGTAAACAATAGAAAATTTTTATGCAATATTTTGAATTTTAATTAAAAAATAATTCTGTTTTGAAGAAAACTGTTAAACAAAAGATCTGAAGGTTTTATAAGTTTAATCTTTATAACTTTTAGTGTACCCATAGATCCCAGTTGAAAAATTAAAATACGTCGTTTAAAGTTAAGCAGTATGTAATAGCTAAGATGGATCAAGTATTATCACATCATTTGCACATCACCTATTCAAACAGAACCATTACTAAATTTATTTTTAAGCAGATCTGACTTAAGTTATATCACTTTAGAGTCCTTTGCACTCTATTAAGCTTGGATGCTTGCTTGTAGACGTTTTATTATTACTATGATTGGGTAACATTTTCTGTGCTAAATGCTACAATGCTCTTCAGTAGCACTGAAGAGTTACCTAGCCATGTAATGAACCATCTGCACCCGACCTCGGAGATTACCAAAGTTCAACCATGAGCTACACATATTTTCTTCTACTGAGTATTACTGTAGTGATATTACTGGAATATATTAATACAATATGAATTATCAGTATTGCATTTTTCTAGGTTAATTATTAAGAATTATTATTAAGAACTATATGCCCTGATACTATAACAAGATTAGATTGTTTTTCATCAGTATTTTGAAGAATAAAACAATGCAATATTTGAAAATTGTTACCTGCCATGCCATTATAGCCCAAATTCTAGTATAAAATAAATAATTTTAGGTCAATAACAGTCTAAAATTTTGAATAGCAAGCCAGGACCAAGTTCCCCAAAACTAAGTAAGAAATAATTAAAACTGTTGAATTTAAAACTGTTTATATTAAAAAGGTACATTATTTTAATAACCTATATTTTAAAGTTTTAAAATAGATATTGTGTAGAGATTTATTTGCTATTTATAAGTTTGCACCCAATTCACTCTCTTTGGTAGAAACCAATATACCGGTACAATCAGGCAAAGTACTACTTTCATCTACATTGCTCCCTGTGGCAGGAACTTGTTTCCTATCTAAGAAAATTAACTATATCAGATTTTATCTTCTACTGAGAAGAAGCATGAAGAGAGGAAGGTATGAGCCAGAAAACCAGAGAGTAGCATCCAATTTATCCAGAAGTCTATTTTATATATCACATTTTCCCCTTCCCTCCATTATACTTATTGTTAATTTTTCTTCCCTTGTTTCTGGGATATTGTATTATAAACTTAGAAAATATTTGTTTCTTTTTATTATGACTGAATAACAAAATGTAGTCTGACACTTAATAAACTATTAGATTATTTAGATTTACTTGCCAAATAATGTTCATTACTGAATTAGGAAGTAGTAAATCAAGAAAAATATAGATGTCAAAAATGACTAATTTTTTTAAGTCATTTGCAAAATCAGTAACTAGCAATGCATTGCTACATAGCCTTAATTATTCGAAGGTATAATATTTTTAATATCAGCCCCAAATAGTATAGAATGGAAAAATCCTTGCTCCAGATATGTAATTTTTTAAATCTCATCACTCAGCAAAAGTTGTTAGTGCTCAACAAACGACATTTCATGAAAAACAGATGGGGGGGGGGGGAGCCTGAAATAGTCAGAAAAGAGAAACTAATTTTCAGTGACAGTATAGTCTTTCATCTTAAGCCATGCCTTGAACTTTACCTTGTTTAATTATTAAAATCAGGAGCTGCTGTGCAAGATCTGTCTGCTTTTGATGGTTCTTAAATTCAATCCTGCTGACAGACTGTATCCATTTCTTGCCATATATATTGTTACATATAAGAAGCTTTTGAGTACTAATTTTTTTTTCAACACAATCTTCATTAACAAGAAAAGTTTGAATAAAAAGCTTTAAGGGAAACATCAAACTGTTTTTCTATAAATATGTAAAACTGATAAAAAATGTTTAAACAGACTTGATTTGTAACACACAAACATTTTCTTTATGAAATCCACACATACACTTTACCATGTGCTGCATCAAAAGGAGAACACCAATACATAACGCCTCAAAGCCAGCTGTCTGGGTGAAGAACAGAGAAAGACTTCTCCATTCAATTTAGTACACTATCTTCAATGTCATTTGAAAAAGGAACTGATGAAAAGACCTTGTATATGAATGAAGAATTATTTTGGAATGCTGGCACCCTTTTAAGAAGGCTGCCACGTGGCAGGTGGAAAAAAATAGTATTTAATGTAATATTAATGTAACACTTACAGTTGTTTTGGTCTCTGCCAAATATTCTGATTCCATTTTACTTAAACGTGCATTTGTATCCTCCAGCAATTCTTGGATATTTTCTGTGTGTTTTTTCTGAAGATTAAACTTGTCTTTTTCCATCTCAGCTACCGCATTATGAAGCTACAAAGACAAATACAGTTCAGGAACATAGAAAAATTAAGGGACAATTCAGTACTATTAAAACTTTTGAGCTTTCTTTGATTTATATCACAACTTCTCATTTGGAAACTGAGGAAGGCATATATTATTCAAAATTTAAAAATATATTTCTGTAAACATATTCTATCAATGACATTTCCTAAATTTTTAAGCTAATTGTATCACTTAATAGACATTTATCTACATTAATAACTGCATCATAATAATAATTGTGGCGTGGTGGCCTAGTGATGAAGACGCTCGCCTCCCACTTGGAAGGTTGAGAGTTCAATCTTAGGTAGCTGCAGATGTTTCTCTCTCAGGGAACAAAGAGAAAATATCTACTGCAAACTCCATGTAGGCGTCTGGAAGGGCATCAGGCCAGTAAATGCTCAGCTCCATTCAGCCGCCCCAACTATCCCCTGAATTCAGGGATTACAAGATCATAAAAAGAAGAAAAAATCAATGTACGGCTTAAATGAAGGAGGTCAACTATACATAATCAGTATTAAGAATGTCTTCTTCCATATTTGAACACCTTAAACAAATCCAGGCAATCAGTTCATTTATGAATGAAAAGTTTGGCAATATTTTGCCACAAAAGTAAATAAAAAAGTCAGGCTAATGCCTTATCAAATATTACCCATATTGCTAACCTTTATTTTGGGATTGATAGAATTAATCAATCACAGGAGCCACATAGGCTATTTAACACCAGAATCCTGCTGAAAATCTACTGTGGTTTCTTTCTGATGGGAATCAGTAACAGAAGCAATCTATGTATTTCTTGCAAGAGAAGAAGTGTTAGTCTATAGCAGGAGTATCAAAGTCGCAGCATCACATTGCCATCACATGACATATCACAATTTTTTTTCCCTTCACTAAAACGGGGTGGACATGGCCAGCGCATGACGCATCTGGCCTGTGGGCTGCAAGTTTGACATCCCTGGTCTATAGCGACAAAACGTCAGGAGGAATCTAGTAGCATCTTTTCCAACTAATAAATGTGATTAAAAGGCATCAGCTTTTGTGACCTGCAGCTCATTTTATCAGAAGCACAGAGTGGAGAGATATATGCCAATGCATATATCCCAAATGCCTCAACAAACAGAAAGGCAAATCCATTATAACTTTAAATGTATATATACACTTGACCCACAACCTTTTCCATTTGGCTACAGAGGGAAAAACCTTTGGTATTTTTGATATGCTGAATTTCAGTCCAGGAGGTGGGGATAAGGACTTTTCCCCAAGGAAAAGGACATTTTTTCCTTCCTCTTTCTTTTCTTAAATTTTTTTTTTCTTGAGATAAATGAAAAGGCATCAGCTGGGAGCGGTTTATCTGGAAGGGATGGGAAAATGGACAAAATGGCTGGAAGAGGGGAAAAAAGACAAATTTGCTTAAAGATCAAGCAAGATGGAGACTGGTTTCAGTGAGCCAGTCTCCAGGAACAAGAAAGAGGTAAGCAAGATTTGAGCAGAAGAAAATCAGGATAAGTATGAAGCTAATCTTTTCTGGGACTGACATGATTGAAAATCCTCCAGGAGCAGAAAACAAGACTTGCTCAAGCAAGGAGGAGTGAACAGACAAACTGGCTGGGTCCTATAGCAAGACCAGAGCTGATTGTCTATGGGCTGAAAATGAGATCAGGAGCCTAACCGTAATCCATAAATCTCTAGGGAGAAAACAGGAGCTAAGAGGAAGTGTTCCTAAAACCTTGATTGAGGTTTATAATCTATGAAAGTCAAGGATTAGTCAGGATCAGTGAGCTGGAGAAGTGAGCTGCGGGAAATCCCTTTTCTCGGAGGTAAAGTAAAAGTTACAAGAAAGGAACGCCTTTTGGTTTCAGATACACTCATCTGCCCTATGGACCTCGAGAACCTGGATCAATCTGCCAATTATTTCAAGGAATCTATGGCCAATTTTTATATAAGAAATGCACTGTTTACATGCAAAACACCATTCATATATGTTTTTTTCTTCTACATTATTTTAGTCTCAGATCCTCCCCATTTGGATTTCTGCCCTATTCCCCTGATAGTATCTTATGGAAAATTTATGTTTGAAGGGATGTGGCTTATCAGCACAAAATGCCTTATTTCATCCAGCTATAATTCTCTGGGCATTTTATAGCATAAAGCTAAAAGAAAGTTTTCCTGTTCCTTTTCTGTTTCATATATTTAATAAATTAATTTTAAATCATACAATTGATGTTTTTCTTTTACAAGGGTAAGGAACTGAGGCTACTGAGTTTATTTTCTTTTACTGTCACGATCTTTATCATTTTATTATTATTCCTACTTTATGGGAATAATAAGGCTATGAGAAGCTAATCTATCTCACAAACTGCTGTGAAAGATTAGGAGCAGAGGAAAGACATTACTTTGCTCCTGGAAGAAGGGTAGTAACAGCAAGAAATTCTACATACCCAATAACTAAAGTAGGGCTGAAGGGAAGTGCTATTTTTTTTAATCACACATCCCACTTTCAGTCCTGTTGAAAGTACTCACAAAACCTGAAAATATAAAACAGTGACATGTATTAAAGCATTGCAACAAGATAAAGTCTAAGCCATGATATTCCTCATGACACTCTATGGAAGTGAAAACTGGACTTTAAAGAAGCAGGATAGGAAGAATTTGAATTTGAACTTTGGTGTTCAGGGACGATTCCTGAGAATAGTGTGGAAAGCCAGGAAAACAATCCTATAGATCACTGAACAAATCAAGTTGTCCTATTTTGGACACATTATGTAAAGACCCAACTTTCTGAAAAAGGCTGTAATGCTGGGAAAGGTAGAAGGAAAGAGAAGAGGACGAGCAGCAGCAAGGTGGATGGATTCAGTTACATGACAATCAGTGCACCATTAGGAGACTTGAAAGAACAGGTTGGGGATAGAAAATCTATCTATGTGGTTGCTAGGAGTCAAAAACAGCACATAATAACAGATAACAGATAACCAGAGTTGGAAGGGACCTTGTAGGTCATCTAATCCAGCAGTCGCCAACCAGTGGGCCATGGCCCACTGGTGAACCATGAGAAAATTTTGGTGGGTGGCAAAGAAATCTCACCCCCAGAGGACCCCCCCAAAGCAATTAATCCAGGCTGCGCAGAAACACAAGGCTGCGCCGCTCACATGGCCTGTGGGAACCCTCCCCGCCCACTCACTCCTTACCCAGTAAACTTGCCTGCTAACTTGCTATTTTTCCTTTTTCCAACCATCATCTGTTCTGCTGTGCCGGGAGATTTAGATAAGCTAGGAAGCAGGAAATGGTTGGATTTCTTGCTTTCTAGCTAGTCTTTAGATCTTCGGCTCAGCACAGCCGAACCTCCCTTAAGACTGAAGGTTTGCTTGCAAGCAAATTCAGTGCAAACTCACGGCAAGCAAATTTGATAGATTGAGCTAGCTGATGGCAGATAGATAGATCACTCAATGATTCTGTGAGCAACTCAATCTGCCTGCTTTGCCTGATTTTGGGTAAAAATTGCTCTTTTTTTAAATAAAAAATCAATATGGTGTGTTGTGAGTTAATGCATGGTGTGTTGTGAGTTAATTTTGTGAGTTTGCATGAGTTTGCTTGCAAGCAAATTTTATGTGACAGACTGAGCTAGCCAATGGCAGATAGATAGATCACTGAATGAATCTGTGATTCTGTGAGCAATTCAATCTGCCTGCCTGCTTTGCCTGATTTTGGGTAAAAGTTGCTCTTTTTTAAAAATAAAAAATTCAATATTTACATGCATGGTGTGTTGTGAGTTAATTTTGTGAGTTTGCTTGCTAGCAAATTTTATGAGTTTGCTTGCAAGCAAATTTTATGTGACAGACTGAACTAGCCAATGGCAGATAGATAGATCTCTTGAATGAATCTGTGATTCTGTGAGCAACTCAATCTGCCTGCCTGATTTTGGGTAAAAGTTGCTCTTTTTTTATAAAAAAATTCAATATTTATATAAATATTTATATTTACATAGAAGCCATGCCCAGCCAGCCACATGACCAAGCCACACCCACAAATTAGGCCACGCCCACAGAACCGGTTACTGGTCCCTTTGATCTAAAATTATGAGTTTGGTGGTCCCTGAGGTCCAAAAGGTTGGCAACCCCTGATCTAGTCCAACCCCCCACCCAAACGGGAGACCCTACACCATTTCTGACAAATGGCAGTCCAATCTCTTCTTGAAAGTCTCAAGTGATGGCACTCCCACAACGTCCGAGGGCAAGCTGTTCCATGGGTTGATTGTTCTCACTGTCAGAAAAATTTCTCCTTATTTCCAGGTTAAATCTCTCCTTGTTCAGTTTCCATAATCAATCAATTAATAACAGCATTTTTCAATACAATGTTCTTGACATATGCTGTGTCAATAATTTTCATTATTTTGAAGAAGAATTTTTAAAGAATTAGGAATTTGGATTTGTTGAGTTTTCATAGGCAATCCTCATAGCTAATAATTACTCTAATACTGAATCATACTTCAATTAATCCTCCCTCTGGTTTCATCACAATTTTTTCAGAATTGCTCATGCTAACATATTTCTATGTGCATTGTGTTTTGCTATACAAAGCCACTGTTCAAACTTAAGATTTCACTTAATGAGAATTATTAAATCCATGTAAGTAGAAATATTTAATAGAAATTTTATACAAAATTAATTTTAAAGTTTTCATTGACTAATCAGTAACTGATTTAAAATTTGATATTCCCAATTAATTAGGCAAGAGCTTTTGTTTTTTGTTTTTCATTACATTAATAAAAACATTACCTTTTTCTCCCATTCATTGTTTAAGGAATCTGTACTGTGCTCACATAACTTTCTTAACTCCAGAATTTGTTTCTCTTGAGCTTCTCTAATGACTTGTGACTCACGAACAAGTGTCTGAACTGTCAGAAAATAAAAGCAACAAAATAAAATACATGAGATGATATTTAGGCTATTATCTCTAGCAAGAGAGATATATGCTATTGCTGATTTCAATAATTTTTAAGCATTGTTCTTTAACATATGAAAATGGTCCTCAGTTATTTTTTTAACATAAAATAACTGAAAATTGTATAAAACAACCATAAATAAATTCATCATGATGTTTGGAATAATATTCTGATTGAATTTTATTTTAAAAATTAACTGTTTCTTCTATTTTGTCTTACGAAATTTTATATATAGTGGAATAATGTTTGATTCATATATATATATATATATATGAATCAAACATTATTCCACTGGCCACTGCTTGGATAGACTGAATGACAACTACCAGTCTGTAGATTATCTCTACATCAATAATCACAGAATAGAAGATAATTTTTATTACAGTCACTGACCAATATTGAAAACAGAAACACTCTAAAAATAAAGTAAAAAAAGCCAAGATAAAATTTTACAATTGATGGTGGGTTCATTGGTGGACAATCCAAGTTTCTCAAATTTTACAGACAATATAACAAAATTTAGCTATATTCAAGAAGACTAAATCAGCTCCTAGATAAAAAGTGAAGCAACATAATTTTGCAGTGAGTTCCCACTGACCCCTAAAGTAAAACACTAGAAATAGCAACTTAGAACAGCTCTTCCAATCTAGGAATGTACAGTATTAAATTGAGTACTTCATACACATCCTACTACCCTAATAAATTTCTATTTAAACATCAAGCAAGCAAAAATATAAACTATACAGAACTGTAATAGCAAAATGACAACACAATCTTTTGGGAATTGGGAATGTCAATGTAACTCAAGCCAGACACAGCCTGATCAAAGCACAAGAAAGAAAACACAACATTCAAATTGCCACTTCAAATTTTGGAGGTTACAAAAGAATCAAACTGGATAAAACTAATATCATGTTTAGTCCAGAATTCTGATCCCACAGTGAAAATGTTTCCAATCAGCCCCTTTTTGTGCTTCACATTAACTTGTACCCAAAATAATGTTTTTTGTAAGGTAACATATAGCAGTTCAGATTATTTACATCCAGGTGTGAGAATTATAGTGAGTCTCTGATGAAAGATTATGTGTCTAACTTGATATACTGACAACTCTATTTTAGTTAAGTAGAATGTAATTACCAAGATCTGATTATCTGCTTTCAACCTGTCAATTGTTTAGAAAAGCGGTAGAGAATAATATATCCTTCTCAAGCAGCCTTCTGAGATGTAGATATCATCACTTGATCTCTACCAAAATATATTAACACCCAGGAGATGCCATTTTAGCATATCATGGGTGCCTGTTAGGAAAAGCAAAGTTCAAATACAGCCATAGGTAGCATTACTCAGGGCAGGGGTCGCCAACCTTTTGAACCTCAGGGACCACCAAACTCATAATTTTAGATCCCAGGGACCACTCACCGGTTCTGTGGGTGTGGCCTAATTTGTGGGTGTGGCTTGGTGGTCATGTGACTGGCTGGGCATGGCTTGTATGTAAATATTATAAATATTTATATAAATACTGATTTTTTTATATAAAAAGAACAACTTTTACCCAAAATCAGGCAAAGCAGGCAGGCAGATTGAGTTGCTCACAGAATCACAGATTCATTCAGAAATCTATCTATCTGCCATTGGCTAGTTCAGTCTGTCACATAAAATTTGCTTGCAAGCAAGCTCACAAAATTAACTCACAACACACCATGTATGTAAATATTGAATTTTTTATAAAAAAAAACAGCAACTTTTACCCAAAATCAGGCAAAGCAGGCAGATTGAGTTGCTCACAGAATCATTCAGTGATCTATCTATCTGCCATCGGCTAGCTCAGTCTATCAAATTTGCTTGCCATGGAATTTGCTTGCAAGCAAACCTTCAGTCCTAAGGGAGGTTCAGCTGTGCTTAAAAGCAGAGCTGAAGATCTAAAGACTAGCCGGAAAACAAGAAATCCAACCATTTTCTGCTTCCTAGCTAATCTAAATCTCCTGGCACAGCAGAAAAGACTAGCTAGAAAGCAAGAAATCCAACCATTTTCTGCTTCCTAGCTAATCTAAATCTCCTGGCACACCAGAACAGATGATGGTCAGAAAAAGGAAAAATAGCAATTTAGCAGGCAAGTTTACTGGGTAAGGAGTGAGTGGGCGGGGAGGGTTCCCGCAGGCCATGTGAGTGGCACAGTCTTGTGTTTTTGCGTAGCCTGGATTAATTGCTTTTCAGGGGGTGCTCTGGGGGTGAGATTTCTCTGCAGTCCACCAAAATTTTCTCACGGCCCACCAGTGGGCGGCCACTGACTTAGGGCACTAGTTAAACCTAAAACAATTTTTCCAAACCAAAAACCCTCTGAATTTTCAGAAATAGTCATACTGTCTGAGAATTCAGGGAATCAAAGTCCACATATCTCGAGAAAGTTTAAGTTGATGAAAGCTTTCTTAAAGGCATTCTTTCCTAACATATCCTTTATTACTCTTCAATTTAAAAAAAAAAAACAGAAGCCAATTTCCTCAAAATCATGCAATACTTTGTCTCAGAAGTTTTCCATTCCTAATCAAAAATGTGTTTCCTTTGAATTTTGCTTATTAAGAGAAAATTAGGAGAAGTATAAACAAACAGGCAAGAAGCAAACATCAATCATGCAGTTTTCAAGATTAATACAAAATTGGAAAATTGAACACCTTTTTTTTCAAGCTTCTGAATAGTCTCTTCAGCTTCATTCTGTTTTGTTCTATACAAGCTCTTCAGTACCTCAATTTCATTGTTTTTTCTATCCAAAATCTATAATGAAAATATAAATAGAGTAAAATTGAGAAATGTTCATTTTCCATGAAGTAATTTCTTTTTTTTTTAAAAGAAACAGTGAACTGGGAATTTTATTGTTAGACTTATTTAGCTTTGGTATCAATATCTCTAGTGAAAGAGCACCTGAAAAACAAGGAAAATGTTATACAGAAAACTGATGAGATTTCTTTCTTTAAGGCATCCATATCTTTTTACAATCTTATAAAGAATTTTAAAGATTAACACATTCTAAAGGCCACCTCTAAAATAAAATAGAGTATTATTCTAAATGTTCTGCTTAACTCATTTGAGATTCTCAACAAGAAAAAAAACTTCAAAGCAAAGGAAACATTTAAGATGACATATTCTCTTTTCAGAACTGGTGTTCAGTTTGCAAACAAACAAGCATAAAAAAAGGTTTATCTTTATTTTAAAATTCCATTGGACTTGCACAGCATGCAGTCTTGTGATTTGACAGTGTTTTTTATAAACTCAATAAATAACTGACACAGTTGCCATTACAAGAAAGGATCCACTGCTACCAGAAAAGATGCCGAGGGTGTCCAAGCCTCATTGACACAAGTGTATGTCACTAGCCACCAAACAGCTGGTTGGTGTGCAGGTATTCCTTTTTAGCCCACAATTCTACTTAATTTATCAACATAGTCCTTTCCGCTCTACAAGTTATGCAGGCCTACCATAGAACATTTCACCTAGAAACTCAACTCTCAGTCAAAATAATACTTCAAAAGGAAATAAATGGCAGTATTTTTATTGTAAACCCGCTTCTTAGAACTCCAAGATATGATATTTTATTTACATATGTTTGATAATCAATTTCGGCTTTTTATGTACTCAAATAAGCATTATTCTCCATATCATATTTTCTGCTAACAACTTCATTTTTAAAAAAATTCTTTTCTCTCTCCCTCTTCTCATATTTCTATGCAATCCAAGACTCTGAATAAATATTTTCTTCTCTACATGCTAAATATTATATGTACTATATCATTTACAATTGTTTTATGAACCTAAAAGAAAAATCACTGTTTGCATTATGTGCAACAATGTAAATTATATGCAAACTATCATTACACCTGGCATAGTAATGAAGCAATTTTACTTCCCTCAAAAAATGAAAAAGCATTTTGCCTCAGTGGCTGGCACTCATTTCCTGAACTGTCTTATTCTTTTTCAGCAATAAATAAAATTAACAAAGCAAGGCAGTATTTTCCTTAATGCTGATAAATCCAGAAGTCACATATAAAATAACAGAATCATAAATGTAGCAGAAATACTGGCTGAAAGAGAATAATCCCCAGAATTGGAGCCATGATTATTCTTTCAATATTCTATTATATTTTACTCAAGGCAGTAAACCTCTTTTTTGAGGCACATATTTCCAATAATCCCATCTTCTTTTACTAGAATTACACATCCACATCACACACACACACACACACACACACACAGAGAGAGAGAGAGAGAGAGAGAGAGAGAGAGAGAGAGAGAGAGAGAGAGAATTGGGAATGTCTTCCAACATATTCTCAGTTTTCCCTTTTTCATGGAAAGTCTGGATGCCAGGTAAGATCAATACAATTCATTTTTATACTACTTCTCATATCGAATATCTATATATTTTTTATTCATCTTTATGTATTCAAGACTCACAGCTCTATCATAAACTGGCAGAAGTTAACTAACAACTACTTCCACTGACAAGGAACATTTTCCTTAATAAACAAATGAACTGGGATAATGTTTTTGACACTTTTGTTTAATTGAATTGTCTTTACTCAATCTTATGATTTGTATAGAAAACAGATCACATTTTAGGTTATATTTACACAGAAATATTGAACATTCAAAAGTGTTAATATTTTCATCAATAAAATAACTGTATCCGCCCAGTATTGGATACTATTTAGAATATATCTAATGGGTATTTTCTACAGAAATGATTTGAGATTCATTTGAACTTGTAGAGTTCCTACAATATGAGCTCTGGCACCTATGAAATAGATTCATGACTCTCCTGGCTTTTCCAGGCAGCTAAGGAAGGGATGCTGGCTAAATCTAATTCATCTTTGAAGGAGGAAGCACTGAAAAGACAGTGGTACATTCTCTCCTGAGAAGATTTATTTTAATTCAGCCATTCTGGGCCTTTTTAGTCTTCCTTTTTTTTTAATGGATGACTTTGGATAATCCTGAAATTAAGCAAATTAGCCATCCTCCAGACCCAGCAGATTATCTTTTACTTGGGCCTGGAGGGAGTTGAACCCGCCAGCTCTTGATGGACATCTCAACAGTAATCAGTATTAACCACTGAATCCTTCCATAACATCTAACTCAAGCCCTCATCACTTCAAGATTGGATTATTGCAAAAATTATTGCACAATTTGGGATTGTGTTTGAAGACCATTCAGAAACTGCAGTGAGTTCAGAATGTAACAACCTATTTAAGAGTGATTAAGAACTGCACTGACTTCCACAGTTTCCAGGTACATGTGCTGGTTATTATCTGTAAGCCTTTTAAGGCTGAGGTTTGCAGAAGATCTCATCTTGTATAATCTACCCAGGAAGCAATATTCCACATTTCCCCCCTCTAAGTTATATGAGAGGAGAGAGAATCTGGAAGTAGGACTTCTCAGTGACAGCTCTGGGACTATGGAACAGCATCCCAGAAGTTAGGATGGCTGGCTTTCCAGAAGCAGGATATGAAGTATCATGCACCACTCTCCAAGACTCTATTTTTTAATTATAAATTGTGGACCTGACATCTATGATTTTTTATGATATGTGAATTTGTTGGTTTGTTTTTCACATTTCTGAAGCACTACCTCCCTCAAAGTGGGAATGTTACATGTGGATTCTGAGTATCAGTATATTTGTATTGGTTGGTATATGTGAGAGTGAAAATAAAAATGTGGCAAGCTCAAATGCTGATTATATGCCATCAAGTCATTGTCATCTCTTAGCATGGATACATTTTCTACATTATGATCTGTCCCTAACCTGCTCCTACATACAAATATCCTTGCTGTATCTGTGTAAATCAAAAATGAAGCAAAATGAAGCAGTTTCAAACGGTTTCATTTGAAGCCATAAAATAGATGAGCCGCTATTGATGGTCAGGGGACTTATTTTTGGGTAGGTGAAAGTAGTGCTTATTTCATTAACACAGAATGGTAAGCGAATGACAGATTTTCTCCCTCTATCTCTGCAAGGTTTGAGTATTTCTTTTCTCCTTTGTTTTTAAACTATTTTAACTTTTCAGTACAAAATGTCACAAAATTGCATGGCCAAATCTTGACACTTTTAGATAGATAGTATACCAGGATGCAAAAAAGGGTTTCAGTGACAAATGTTATTCTATGCCTCAGGTTAGCTACCCATCATAACATAATTGTTCTGAAATGACAGGAAATGCAAGAATGATGGCAAGTGATGTGATATTTTCCTTATATTCATTAATGCATCATCAAGACTCATTATTTCAATTTATAACAATCTATTGCTATAAATGTTTAAGTGCAGCCAATGGAATACTAATGCCAACATTCAGATGTTACATAGGAATTTTATAATAGGTATTTCTTTGTGTTGCAAGTAAAAACCCATCATATAATTTTAATCAACCTACTGTACCTTTTGAACATCCGCATCATGCTTCTGCTGTAATTTAAGTTTTTCTTCATGAAGTCTAGCTTCCATCAATTTTGATTTCATCTCCAGCTGTAAATTGGATGTTGCACATACTGATCAGTTTAATTGATGACATATAACCCTTCCTTATAAATCAAAATAGCTTCAAGAAGCTTTAAATCTAAAAGTAACAAAATAACACAGACCCACTGGCAATTTATCTAGCCTGTTGTGGATAGAACTCAAATGGGCTGATCTTTCTCTGATGATGAACTAGTCACCAATCTCACAGATAATTAATTTCCTTGAGATAGAGAAACAGTTTTGAATCAGTCAAGCCTCTACTCTCTATTCCTTGGTCATGAAAGGATGCTTTTTGACAAATTGGTTAATATTTCTTGAAAAATGTATTTAAGGAACCCTTGTGAATTCATGTCAATAAAACAAAACATTGTTTATTTTGGCTAACATTAGCCAACCAGTAATAACACCCTTTTTTCTGACTCTTCAGTTTTATTTTAAATTCCCACATATTCAGGGGTGGTATTCTACCAGTTCGCACCTATTCGCTAGAACCGGTTGTTAACATTCTAAACAGTTCAGAGAACCGGTTGTTAGAAGAAATTACTAGCCTAATCCTGTAAGGAAGGCAGGAAGGAAACATTCTGGTGTTGCTTACAGAAACTGCCTCTCTGTTAACCCTTATTACATTCTTGGCAGGAGTTTTTTTCCCCCTCCTTTGCTGGTACTTTGCTTGTGTGGAGTGACCATTCAAAGTTACAATGGCACTGAAAAAAGTGGCTTATGACCATTTTTCACACTTACAATGTTGCAGCATCCCCACAGTCATGAGAGGCCAAGCGAGGAGATGCGTGCCTCGATGTGAGTGATATTGAGTTGGCCACACCCAGCCAATAACATGACCACCAAGCCATGCCCACTACCTAAGCCATGCCCACAGAACCGGTTGTTAACAATTTTGAATCCCACCCCTGCATATATTGGTCTCATCCTACACACCTTCCAGTTTGGTTGGGGTTCTCATCTCTTTTCTTTAGTACTTGACATACTGCCCAGCTGTTCCCAACAACTTATACAGGAAGAAGAGGCAAAATAGTAATAGACAAATCTGAATGGCTCATTTTTAACTGAAAACCACAGCTAAGTATCTTGAACCAGAATAGATTTCCTTTTAAGATCCTCCTTTTCTTTTACTAATTATATCTTTTAGAAATGCACTATAAACGAACAGGAACATTCAGAGAAGAGTTTGAAAAGAAGAAGAAAAATGCTAAAATTTTGCTTTTTTTATTCATGGCTCTTCTGCAAAGTCTTGGCTGTGCACTCTTTGCAGAGCTTTGGAAAAGTAAGGGCAACTTTCCTTCTTTTTTTTCCTCTACAAAGCCAGCTCCAGTGCTTCAGCCTGCCCAAGAGCATGGGAAAGGGGGCATTTTCAGATGCTACAGCTGATGGCTGGCTTTAACATTTTTCTTCTTCTTCCTCTTCCTAAAGCACCAGGCTGGGAGTGAGAAAATAGTGAAGATTAGTTGTGGCAGGTCAGGGCAAGGACTGTTGCTTAACTAGAGCTTCCAGTGGGAGGGAAGCCACCAGCAAAGACAATTGGATTCCTATTTCATTGTGGCTGCTTGGGAAATGGTGCCCGCTTCTGGAATAAAGTCAAGCAGTTCAGGAACACCAAAGGGCAGAGTGGCGCAATCGGTGATGGGTGGGGAGTTGGGGATTGGAAGCAAGCATGTGCCTAAGGGATCCTGGAAGGTAGAGTGGCAGAAGGGCACTGCAGCATCCCTGTGGTCAGTCACAAGTGGGAATGACCGCAAGGATGCTGTAGCAAACATAACTTTGAAACCAGACCATAAATAGTTTGGGGGGGGGGGGGCTGTTATAACTTTGAACAGCTGTTAAGCAGCCTTTCACTCAAACCTTACATTCCAAATGCCAAATTCTCTTATTTCTCAGCAACACTTATTCTTTCATCTAGAGCAAACAACCAGCAGTGAAATACAAATTTAAATCCAGTAACCCCAATCCTCCTCTTTCCTTTGGATGTTATAAAACTTTATAGTAACTCTTGGGTTTTTTTCCCTATAAATTTAGTTATATCTTTGCCATTCTTAAATAGTATATGTGTTGGACTTCCGGTGGCACTTCTGTCGAAGTCAGATCAGAGTCTGTGATCATGCACAGCTCTGATCCAAGCTCTACTTGTTGGAGGGTCCCAAATGGGACCGGAACCACCCTGGAGGGGTGGTGAAGAAAGGGGGACCACCTGTTGAGTCCAGGGGAGCCGCATCTCCCGTCCCTGGCTAGGAACACTCCCTCCGAAGACAAGCTGTAGCGGTAGCCTAAAATGGCTACCATGAAGACAGGAAGCTATCCAGGAAACTAAGGTTGTGCTGGAGCATTGAGTTGTGAACAATGTGTGGACCAGGTGAAATACTTTGGACTTTAAAAGGTAACCCAGAAAATAACAGAAAAGAATTCTCGTGAAGGATTGTATTAGTGGCGATTTGAAAGAGAGAAATTGGAAAACGTTAAGAAATTTTTGAAAAAGACTTTAAACAGAAGTGACACAACTCAGAAAAACTTTTGACTATAACAGAATAAGAAATTGAATGTGGTGATTATACAGAATTTGGTACTAATTAGGCATTGTTTAAAATGATGGAATTGAGCAAAGTTAATAAAAGCTTAAAATGCGGAAAAATAAAAGGTGGAAAGTGGAAAGTGGTTTAAGAGCGCCACCTAATGGTAAAGGAAATTTTTTACTGACTTTATAAAAACGTGTGCTCTAACTAAGATGTGAATTTAAAAAGAAATAAAAGGAACTTTATTATAACAAAACCACCAAAAGTGGATTATTAAAATCCTACAGTAAAAGAATACCTGAAGATAGTACCCCAGGATTGATTGGTGGCTTTGGAATTGTTTGACAAGGAACGGATTGATTAAAACTGGAAAATACTTATGGACATTGATTGTAAAAAATAAAAAGACACTGGATTAAACAAACTATAGGACAATCGGATTAGATATAAATATTAAAGAAGATAAAGAAGTAGTAAAGTAAAATGAGTGAAAGGAAATAAGACCAGAACTGCAAAGTATAAAGGAAATGATAAATAAAAGCTTGGAAATATGGAGCAACATAGCAGAAAAACTAGAAATGGTGACGCAAATCATCGAAGAACAAAGAAAGCCTAAGGTTAAACAAAGTTATACAAAGAAGAATATCAGCTTAAAACAACAATGGAAACAATACTACAAAAGGACAAAAAGAGAATTAAACTTAAGATCTTAATGATTGATGTGACAAATAAAAATGTGGTAATTTAAAAAATGGCTATATTATTATTAGTTTTTATAATTGGTTAAAGGGAATAAAATGGGGGAAATGTGTTACAATGTAAAGAGGGTGGCAAGATTGAATTGACAATGAAAGGGGACAAATACTGAGTAATACAAATTAAGATGAATTTTTGGAATGATGAATGGAATAACATAATATGTTAAAACCTGCAAATATGATGAATACAAGAAAATGTAATAAATATAGAGATTGATTAAGAATATAGATATTATAAAGTAATGTATGAGAATATGAAAAGGGAAATTGGAATAGGTAATTTATACAATATGAAATTGGATAAGAAAGCTAAATATGTAACCATGGTCATGTTTGTATTGAAATGTAAAATCCTGGAATAACATTGTTCACTCAGAGATGTTTAAAAAATAAAAATAAAAAATTTATTGGAAAAAAAAAGTATATGTGTTGTTCAAAAAAGGCATTGCCTGAAACAAAAACACCATTCTTAGCAAAACATTCATTTGGACCAAGTACTTTTTCATTTTAGTTTCACATATCTCCCTTATTATTATAAGTCCATTCAAAATTTGTCTCTGATTTTCTGCAATCCTAGGTAAATTCTATTTATACAAATATTGTCCACTTTTTCTGAAGAAACCTACACCCCACACATCTTATTTTATCTTTTGCAAATAGTGATTTTTTTTCTTTTTTGAGGGGCATTTGTTCCACTTTTACTTTATGTTAAGCATTTGTAATCCATAATTAATCCAAGATTTTAGAAAAGTGAATATTTGTGCTGCCTAATGTGGCGTCTTCTTCAATGTCTTGCATCTGTTGTGGCATTTGTTTAGTCTCATCTGTCACTGTCACTTCCCTTTGTGTCTCATCCAATTCTTCTTCAATTTCTTCCCCAAAAATCTCTTGCTTTTTACGTAGAGTTCAACCCAAATTTCCATTGTTTGAAAGTAAAAATCACCCGTTGCAGCTTACACCACCAAAATGGAATTTTCTTCTGTTTGTCAGAAAAGGTACAACTACATTTGTATTATCAGCCTAGTATTAAAATGCAGCTGTAGATCTGTTGTCTTTTTCCTGACAAAGTGTTCAAGGACATCCCTTGGACCATTTTTTAATGTTGTAAAATGTGTACTGATCCTTTAGCCTAATCAATCTCTGAATCAAAATTGTCTTCTTCCCAATCCAGAGATCCAGGCTCTTTTTGCGAATGTCCTCTCCATGTCATTCTGGAATTGCTCTAATTCTTAAAAAAATATTTCTCTAAATTCCAATAATGCTAGATTACCCAAGTCTTTCTCTATACTTCTATTTATAAATTCTGTCATAGTTTCTAAAATGTCTATTTTGTCAGTAACTTGTTTCAAATCTGCAGCCAGTTGTCCTCAGATTCAATTTTCTTAATTTCTTTCTTCAGATCTTTTCTCATCGTTACAAATCCATTTACTTTTTAACTGTCGCAGACATCTTTTTACCAAATTCTTCAAATAGTTTCTTCAATAAATCTGATACAATACCCTTATCAGTAAGTTGTTCTAGTGAACCTGTGTGTCCTTCTCCCAGTTTGGCAGCTTTTCTCGTGGTTGCCATGGTGAGAAAGTGAAAGTATGTCAGTTACTATGGTGAGAAAAAAGTTGGATTCTTTTTTTATTCTGCTTTTCTTTTCACTATCTTCCCAATTAGCTTTTCGTAGTCAGTCAAACAGTCTAGCTCATATTACTCTTATCTTCTTGTTTTCTAAAAT